TGCTTAGTGAATCATCAGAAACACTAGCACTTATCATGCTACAGAACAATGAAAGTCTATGCACAGTGGAATTCATTATAGCGAACATCACTGGTCAAGTCGCTCGCTTATGTTCCTCATCGTGCGCCTGATGGGATCTCTCCGTATTTAATAAAAATCAGTGGTAGTGAATTCCTTCTACTTTTGCTCAACATCTGTAAGCTCTCTTTTATAAACGGAGTATACCATACTCAATGGAAAACTTCTGTTGTTATGCTGCGACACAAAAATCACGCTGCCTACGAGGGTAAAAAGTGCCGTCCCATCAATAACACACGCATCGCATCTAGAATAATGGAAAGGACAGTGAAAGATAGATTATTTGTATTCTTGAACAAGGCTACTATCATCAGCAATTCGAAATATGGCATCATGCAAAGTCGATCCTGCGCAACATGCCAAACAGACTCTTTAAACCACAAAACAGCTGCTATTGACAACGGAAACAGTGTTGTAATCCTGTTCCTGGATATGTAAAAAGCCTTTTATAGAGTGGCTCACCAAACAAACTGAAGGTTATTGGCATTGGAGAACCGATGTTTTCTTGGTTGTCTTCATGTCTAATTGGTAGACAGCAGGTGGTGCGCATAGGCGACCATTTCTCTAAACCGAAAGCAATCATCAGTGCAGTGATTCAAGGGCGTGTTATTGGTCCTCTTCTTTTGCTAATTTATATTAGCGATCTATTCCAGAGAATAAGAAATGGTGTTACATTTATCTTTGCTGATGACATTAAAGTTGTCTACTCACAACCACGTGCAGGTACTCAGGAAGCCGTACATCTCATTCAGGATGATCTATCTGCCCTTGACTCCTGGTGCCAACTGTGACAGATGTCATTTGCCGTGGACAAGTGTAATATTTTGTCGTACAAATGCCAAGTACCGCCAGACAGTTTATTACTACAAGGCGCATATATCTCGCAATGCACAGCAGTTCGCAACTTGGGCATGTGATATTCAGTTACGTTCAACTTTTCTGGACATTGTGACTTCCAAGTTTCGAAAGCCATGAAGATCACCGATTACATCTCTCCTCATTTTTACTTCACCGTGTCTCACATATCGTTTTACAAAACATATGTATTGCCGTGTATGGAATACTGTTGTGATCCAATCTACTCTGCGGAAAGCTGACCAGCATACTCTCGAGAGGGTCCAGAGACGCTTCACGAAAAAACTAAGTGGATTTCCCTCAATGTTGACGTACAGGAAGCGAGGTGATAAACTTGGATTTGACCCAGTTTGGCTTAGGAGAATGAAAATGAACCTGTTTTCTTTACAGAATCATAAACTGTCAAATTCGCAGTCTTGAAAACGGTGTTCACATATCTTTAAATAGCAGATATCCAATACGTAACAAAGAGGTAAAGTCATGATATAAAATTCACTATGAGAATCAGAACGTTTATTTTTAACCCACTACTCAAAGATTTGGAACAAACTTTCGAGTGGTAGCAGCAAATGTTATACACTGCAATTTTAAGTTTGCGATTAGTAAGCAGTTAACCGTCCAAAATATGATTAATATGTTCGGGACATCACAGTGCCTAGATAACACTTTCGAAAACGGTATTGATGGTGCCTGAGTAGGTTTTCGAAACACACACAACATTTCGGACAACAGCCCCTTTCATTTTTTCTTGGCCACAACATCTATCATTTGATCGTGAAAAATCCTGAAAAAGTAGCAGAACGATTCTGATTACTTTATGTTACCTAATTTGAAATTACACCACAAATGTGAGGCAACAGAAAACGTATGCGGGGAACAGTAAAAGAGAGCGGGATGTATCCGGGTGAGTGGAGCAAACTCATCCCTATACATCGGGGAGTGGTGGTTTGCTTACCACAGCTATAACAGAGTGCCAAGTTTCGCGGTTTCATTGACAAACATGGCCGGCGTCCGCATCCCACTAATATAGAAGCCATCACCAAAAGATATTGCCGAACCTCGTTCATTTCTCGGTCTCGTAAGCCATTATAGTGCATTCTTGCCAAGTCTACATCAAACAAGAGGTCCTCCGAACGAGTTGCTGATGAAAGGGAAAGAATGGAGATGGGCAAAGGTGTGCCAACAATCCTTTGATATAGTTAAAGCAGCGCTCAGTTCCGATTTACTTTTGACCCACTTCAACCCAAACTTGAATATTGTTATTGCTTCAGACGCCTCCAATTATAGGGTAGCACTGACATTTCTCACGTGTTCCCAGGAGTAGAGGAGAAGGCCATTGCGCACGCAACACGGTCGCGGAGAAAAATTACAGTCAGATTGAGAAGGAAGCGCTGGCGATGGCTTTCACAGTGAAACGGTTTCACAAGATGCTATATGGTAGACATTTCAAACTGATCACGGACCACAAAACTTCACTCTCGATATTTTATTCAAAGAAGGGTATTTCTGTTTTTACAGCAAGTCACTTAGAGAGATGGGTAACCCTACTGATGGCTTACGACTTCAGTATACAATACCGATCTATGCAACAACTCGGCCAAGCTGACGCTCTATGTCGCCTCCTCAGTGTCCATTTGAAAAAAAAACGAGGACTGCGTGACCGCATCTGTCAAATTGGAGTCGGAAGTTCAGCGGATCCTGGTTGAAAGTGTAAGTGAGTTGCCAGTAACTTCGGACACAATTCGTGCAGAAACGGCTCAAGACGAAGTTTTGCTGAAAGTCATAAGGTTTGTGCAGTCCAGTTGGCCTAATGTCAGAATTCCGACCGTTACGACCTTTCTTCAATCGACGCGGATCACTTTCGGTCGTTGACAATTGTCTAATATTCGGAGACCAAGTCGTGGTACCAAGGAAGTTGCGGAAGCGAATCCCACAGCAGTTTCATTTAGGAGATCCGGGAACCAGCCGAATGAGGCCACTGACACGAAGTTTTGTGTATTGGCCTCAAATGGAGTCAGAAATCAAACAGTTTTGCCAAAGTTGGAATGTTGTCAGCAAGTGACAAAGGCCCCCCCAAAATGTCCGTGGCAACCTTGGCCCGAGTCGGAGAAGCCCTGGCATATAGTACACTTGGATTATGTGAGACCAATCAACGGTCAATCAGATTTGATTTTTGTTGATTCCTACACAAAGTGGCTAGACGTGATTCCGATGCAAAAGTTCACCGCCCAGCCCACTATCGGTGAGCTAAATAAACTGTTTCAGTATTTTGGCATACCGGCAATGCTGGCTACAGACAACGGAGCATAGTTGACATCAACGCTGTTCTGAAAATTTTACATGAAAAACGGAATCCAGTACGTTTTCGCCGCCATACCATCCAAAATCGAATGGGCAGGTTGAACGGTTCGTAGATACCTTTAAACGTGCTCTTCTCAAAGCGGAAGGAACGAGGGTGTCACGAGATGCAATTCAGCCGTTTTTCAGAATGCATCGAAACACTCCGAATCCAAACACACTGGAGGGCAAATCTCCTGGTGAATGTCTATTTGGACGAGAAATTAGAACGACAGCTGATCGCCAGAAATGTTGGAAAACGCAACGGACACACGAGAGAAGCAGGATAACAGAATTTGTAGGTTGAAGATAGGCGATTCGGTGTATGCACGAAACTTCCAGACCCAAGGAAGATGGCTTAGTGGAACCGTTATTGGTAAGAGTGGTAAGGTTATTTATGAGATAATGGTCGGAAAGGACAATTGGACCAGACACGTCAATCATCTACGACCGCGGCATGGAAACACTCAGACTTCAAGAACCAGCAGCACTACAGTGGGACATACCACTGGATACATTTGGTTTGGAAAACAGAACCGATCCTCAAAGCAGAACACAACCGGTCGCACAGGTGCCACATGACCTAACATGCAGGCTAAATCGAAGGCAACCGCAACGGCTACAAGTGAACCCCAGGGTAAAAAGCTACGATCAAGCCCAAGTGGGGAAAATAGGTGGGAGCAATCAAGTTGAAGAAGGAAGTAATAGAGATAGGCGGAGCCAATGTCCAGATACGAGGTTACGCGCGGATATACCGTGGAGTACGTGAGCTGTCTGTTGCATGTGAACATCACCAGAACGGGTGTGGGGTGACCTTCGAGCGTTCCACCAAATATGGGAATCGCGTGCGAATTGATTGGCTAGCAAATACAAGCCCATATCAAAGGAGACGAAACATTCTGCCAAATATGGAAAACCCGTGGGACGGAATTCCCTCACATTAACTGAGAATCAGATACAGAAGAGCGGGTGGACTTGGCTTCAAAAACTGGTATGTTTCGTTCACCAATAAAAAGAGTTGACCTATCCTATAGAATCTACCTTGTCAACCGAGATTTGGCCTTTTATATCCTTTCCGTTGGCTGAGCAATCAGACGGTCGCAGTCTCGCAGATGAAGCAAGGTATCAGTACAATACAGGCCCCGATCGGTTTGATGACAAGGTGGAAAGTAGCTCGGATAGGCAATGTCTGACTAAGATGCGTGTGCCATTAAGAAGAAAATTAGTTTGTTAGGACACACGGGGTAGTCTGCCAAATTGGCCGATGCAAGTGTAGTAGAACAGTCACTATTTCGATAAAAGAACGGTAACCGAGAAAGATGGAACAACGACCCATGTGCAAGTAGGCTGAGCGCTGACTAAAACTTTTGGAGAGCAAAGCTGAATATGCTCGCGATTGGTCTTAGATAAATGATACGAAAAGAATCATTTTAGTCAAGCTCGAGAACGTACAGGCGATGTGATTTCGTCAATCCACTTACGACACCGGATGACCGGCGCATACAGTTGAGAAGCAAAATGGAATTACCGCAGGAGGCTCGTCAGAGCTGCGCAGACAGTCTTTGAACAGCAGTGGACACTGTTCCACCGTCAGCAGTACGTTTTCTATGGCTACTGTTCATCCGTCGTGGTCTAGTGGTCTTAACGGAGGACTCCTGAACCATGTAACATCGCTGGTTATAGGTCCATAGGTGACAGATGAAATGCGCATTGCTAATGATCCCCGAAAGAATGAAACAATGGAAGTGCATTTGAGAATATGTAGTACCTGTTCGACTGAATGGGGCTGTGATAAGTCTCCCTCTTTCTCGAATGACTGAATCCATATCCATTTTTCACTACCCGCGAACTAGAAGTGCCAAAACAGAAAAAAGCGATGAATAGAGAGTATGATCAGCTACAGTCTAGTGTGGACGGTGACTGGTGGCGCGCACGAGCGTAACCAAGACAACTCCAGTTGGTGGATAGAGGTGAATGAATCCAACAGGATCATGCTAAGTTGGAAAAAAGAAGACAGAAACGAAGGAGAGCAAATCGCTAAACAAACAGGTGAATAGTAGAAGCTGTATGTTTACGACAGAGAAGGCGGATTTGACTTGGGCAGTGGTTAATAGGCGCAACGGTGACAGTATCAATGAGCGCACAGTCTAAAACAGAAACATTTATGTCACGTGTGTGTGCGGGTGGGTGAAAAGCCGTTGGTTCGCCAGTTATTGGTTACGTAGTTCGATACAGTAAAGGATAATGACAAATAAATGTTGAGGTTAAGCAAGTTTGGCGATCAGGAATGACAACTGTTTCTTGCGATAAAGCGTTGTCTTGCTCTCTCGAGCATTTCTCGTCGGCGGTTGCGAAGGTAGCTATCCCCATTCCCACTGCCAAGGTCGGTAGACGAGCGCTGTCCATCATCCAATGTGCGGCGGCGCACAGTGGGACCAGCAGTAGTTTCCTCGGCAATACTTCGACTAGTCTCGGGCGGCGCGATCGATGGCGACACTGATGATGGGGAAGCAAGGTTCGACTGAAATGTAGTGAGAAAGAGGCAACATTACACTGAGAGAAAAGTACTGCGACGCAGACAATGTTAGGGAGATGTATATAGCATACGTGAGATATCACGCCTGATCATGTGGTAGTAGGCGTGACTCGGAAGTCCTAATCACCGGATAATAAAAATGGGATGCATGATAGGTAAACGGGAATATCAACCATTTCCATGTGACTGATGTAGATCGAAGTAATCATCCAAAACAAAATGCTCGGAGATGAGGTTACTATCGCATAACGGCACGGAAGTTCAGTTCCTGTCGCAACGAGACTGGACCTTAACGTGGTGCGACGGTTTGCGTACCTCCTTGACTCATTGAGCTATACTGGGTGGTGCCTCCAGGCACCTTGAGAGCTACTCCTACCAGGTTGGTCAATGGTGAGAGGTCAGACAAACTCAGTCTCCTGGTCCTCCAGGTTGGGGGTTTGAAATGGGATGATGTCCATTTCTGTAAAACTAAATCATTCTACCTCTGCGCTGCCTTGCGCACAGACTTTTGAGCCAAACGCTTTGGATGAGGACCCTAATCGTCCTCCTGTCTAGGTCTGGTCGCCCTGTCAGTATCTCAGCCCACATACAACCATGACATTTTCTTCAAACATAAACCTCATCCTGCATCGGCCGTCGTGCAGATTATCAAGGGTCGCCTTATCTGCTGCATGCAGCATGGCAGATAAGCGAAAACATGCCAATACTGGCGCCTCCCTTCTTTCTTTTCCACCTTTTCTCTTACTCCCATCCCAACCCCGATTACTAACCTTCCTTCTATAATTCCCAGCTTAATTGACAGCAACCGAAGTGCCACCGGAGTAGAACCATCTGCAGCCACCATCCCACAGTACCCATCGGACGCCTATCGGCAAAAGTCCCTTATAATGCCACGCTGACCCGTTTCCATGGCGACATTCAACGGTTACACTCTAAGACAAATAGGTCAACAGGCTGCACTCGCACGCACCTTGGACACACTGGGTATTGATGTGTGTTGTGTGTCCGAAACAATGTCCCTAATGGGGTTGTTGAATTAACTGTACCCGGCTTATCCTCTCGTTATCGGTTGTACGCATCCGGAGACGCCAATGCAGCACTCAAGAGTCAGGCTGGTGTAAGTCTCATTCTAAGCTCCAAGGATGATCCATTGTTGGTTGATTGGATTCCGGTGAACAGACGTTTATGTGCAGCCCGTTTGACGACATCAGCTAAGGTGAATTCGCGAAGTAAAACAAAACGCTGTTTGCGATTTCCGCTTATGCTCCTACCGACTGCAGTGCTAATGCAGTCAAGGACACATTCTATCACGAAATGAACGCGCTACTACGCAGTGCTACTAGTTCAGATATTATAGTGCTTACATGGGATATGAACGCACAAGTAGGGCGTCTGAGCTCTTCAGAAGCTTAGTCGGGTGGTAATTATGGGCTTAACTCCGAACGGACTGACAACCGTGAGCGTCTGCTGCAATTGTGTGCGGAGCACCAGTTGTTGCTTACTAGCACACACACAGTGGGCGCCGAAGTGTCACTTAGCGTCCTCCTGTAGCTGGCCAGCGATGGACCCAAATTGACCACATAGCCATAAGTTACAGATGGCGTGGTTCCATCCTGGATTGTGGCTCGTACTGGAATACCTGAGTGGAGTCTAATCATGCTTTGGCACGCTGTCGTTTCTCCATGACCTTTACCGGAAGGCGAACCAAGTGTCTCCCCCAAATTGCCAAATGAGAAATTGTCTCAGTCCTCGGTCAGGCAAGCCTATCAAGACGCACTGTATACGGAACTACCGCTGTCTTGTCCTAATGACACTGAGATTCAGTGGAATAGGATCTCGGCCGCCATGCACGACGCAGGAGCATCTGCTTGTGGCACTATCAGTCGTCACCGCCCCAGTTACTAGATATCCGAGAGGTCGGTGAACCTGTTGGAATCTAGAAGAAACCTCCCGGTTGGCTCTGAGCACAATGTGACCGGACGGGCTATTAGGCGCGAACTAAAGCGGAGCCTACGTGCTGACAAGGAAGCCTGGTGGACCAGTAGGGCACAAGAAATGGAGGAGACAGGAGCAGTAGGCAATTACCGCAAGCTCTTCCAGCTAATCCGCACCACTGGTCCCAGAAAACCAGGCGTCAGTGAGACAATCAGAGACAGCGCGGGTGCACTGAGACAAAATAAGGAGCGCCGTATGGCTCATTGGGCGGAACACATTCAAAATCAATTCAGCTGTCTCCTGCTTCCAGACCTCTTCCTACTCAGGTGATGCAGGACGAGCAATAGACGGTTAGTTTAGATTCTCCGTCGGAGGTCGAGGTCTGAGACGCGATCACATCCCTCAATCGTTTTCGTGCCGTTGGCCCGGATTCCTTCTCACCTGCACTATTTAAGGATGGAGGTCAGGTCCTCTGCAAAGCACTGACCTCCCTAGTAAAATGTAGCTGGAAGAAAGTGCCCCGGCTAATTGGTGCAATATACAATAAGAACAGTCGCACAGGGGTATTAGCCTAGTGCCTGTTGTGACAAAAGCACTGGCTTCGATTCTCGTTCGTCGTCTCCCTGTGGAACGGGAAGCTCGCATTAGGGAAGAGCAGGCCGGTTTTCGCCCAGAACGTGGCTGTATAGACCATATATTCACTTTGCGGCAGGTGCTAGAGCAGCGCCAGGCATATCGCAGACCGACAATAGATGTGTTCCTCGATTTCAAGAGTGCGTGCGATTCAGTCGATCGATCGAAGCTGTTCGAAATACTTGCGCGGAAAGGTGTTCCCACGAAATATGTGAACATCCTTCGTGCTCTATACTCGAACACTAGAGGCCGCGTCAGGGTCTATGGTGCCCTATCGGATAGCTTTTCGACTACAAGTGGCGTTCGTCAGGGTTGTCCGATTTCCCCATTTTTGTTCAATTTCGTTGTGGATTCTATCATTGAGTGTTCCCTTGCGAAATCTCATGATGTAGGCGTTGTGATGCTGCCTGGTGAAAGATTAGTTGATCTTGATTATTTGCGCGATTTCGTCTTGCTTTTCGACGATGTTTGGGCGGCCCAATCAACCCTGAATAGTCTGTCCAGAGTGGTTCCAACATTTGGAATGCACTTCGCACCTTCGAAGCGCAAAGTGTTGCTGCGGGACCACCAGCCACTTTATGACCCCTTGACGCTTGCTAACGAGGAACTCGAGGTGATTGATCAATGCACTTATCTTGGCAGCTGCATCAGCAACGATGGGCGCATAGAGACTGACGTCAGCTCACGCATTGCAAAGGCCAGAGCTGCCTTCTTGGACCTGCGGCTTCTTTGGCAACAGAAGGGTTTCCTTCCGTCTGAAAGGCCGTGTATACAAGGCCAGAGTGAGGGCCGTTCTGCTCTATGGTAGTGAAACTTGGCCCCTTTGGCCTGAAGATCTGAGGCGTCCTTAAGTCTTTGAACATCGTTGTTTGCGAAGCATTGCTGCTGTCGGATTGCAACAGCGTGTCCGTAACGACGGTGTACGTTCGCTTCCAGCCGGACTATACCGGCGAGCATCGACAAGTTCCAGAGACTGTGAAGAGACCCAATGTCCATGTTGGCTACTAGACTTATCACATGAGGATTTGACTGCTAGTAGTAAGGTCTGGTGAACATGCAACCAGTGACCTTCAATTGTTTCCAGTGAGCGCTTACTCAACCCGCATGTCAGTGTACTTTGATAGGCATTCAGAACAGCGGGCATCGTCAGTTGGCTGGTGTCAATGTGCTCACAGGGTCCACGTGGGCGTCCGCCAAAACGCATCCGTATGTCAGCACATCAAGTGAATAGTCGGTGTCCACCCATATGCCCCAAATCGAGCGACAGTTCTGGATGCAGCCTCTCCAGCAGTAACTGATTGCAGTATGATCGATTTGCGTTCAGGGCTGGTGAGCGCCAAGTCACTCTCCGGCGGGTGCTGTGTTGGAAGTTAGTGCTCGCAAGAAATAAGCAGGGATCTTCACACAAATGAAGTAACCACTCACCGTTATCATTAGGGGAGCCTACACCGTGCTGAGCGTCCAGATGCATTTCATCACTGGACAACTTTCCAACTTGAGCGTTCAAACCCCCCGCCAACACAACAGTGCCTGTGCTTCATCTGTGGCGAAAGATCTCGGTAAGTTGGCGGTAGAAGTCGTTTTTTACCGAATCATCACTACAGTTTGTGGGCGCGTAAGCAGCGATGATGAAGAGACACCTATTAGTCCCGCGCGACTTCGATGCTTTGAACGAGCCAGCCAATCGGACCGCACACATCCGGCTATTGACTGGGATCTAATCAACCAGAGCAGCTTCAGCCCGGGGACTCAGGGGCAATACCAACACCAGTGCTAGAAGCTGCATCGCACCGGATAGGCGCAATGAGAAAATACTGCTTGTGTCACCTGAAGGGGATCGCAGAGCGAGCACAGAGCTCGAGTCTTGCAGGCAAGTCTCCGATAAGCAGCAGATATCAATGGAGACAGTCACTAAAGTTCGGGCAAGTGCTGCCTGTTGACCCCATGTTCAACTACCAGAGGCAAAACATGAATGAAGCTAAGAAGAGCCAACAAGTGGAGTTAGAGAAGACAAAAACACGAGATGCTTTGAAATAGTGTGTTCGAAAACATGCCGTCAATGCGGATCGCATCCCACCTGTTGTTCCAATGGTGGTGCCGGGGGAGGAGGACGCTGAATCAGGTTGTCTGCAGTCACCTCCGGTTGTCTTGTCTGAAGGAGATCAGCGACAATGTCTGCCAGCGGGATATGGGGAAATGCCGTAGTGAGTTCCTGGGCGTAACCGCGTAGGTACCGCGGTAAGCGGATCAGCTCATGCGCCTCAGGGTCAAATGGGTGCGCGCTGTCCGGTTGGTCCATTGGAAAGCCGGCGAATTGGGGCTCGTTGTTGTTCGTTTCAGTTACGTTGGAAAAGGGTTGATTTGGGATATTGGTGGAGAACACTTCGCGGATGACCTAGAGAGAAAAGGGAGAGGAAACATGATTCTTTTCAGAGTAATAAAATCGGATAGAAGTTGACAGGCCATATGGGAAGACAGGATACCGCGCTATCTACAAGTTAGTCAGTGTCCTGGTCCGTTAACCCAATGTCAAACATGATCTAGTGGGATTGTTTCAGTAGCCCGGCTTGTGTCTGATAAACTTGCGGGACAGAAATCGCGGGGTGCAGGTAGGTTGGTAACGCGCTGTACACACGTCGCTTAGGGTGTGTTGCTTCTTTGGTCAAACCAAGAGTGTTATAGCAGAGAATAGTGTCTTAAGAAAATCAGAGGGATGACAGCTTTCGCAAAAAACCTCGCATAAGAAGTTGGAGGTAAACATATGGTTGGCAGCTAGGAGAAGGTATAAATGAGCAAGGTAACGCCAGTTATATCGTGCCGCCTACAAAAGATCACTCGACAGACCACCAATAAGTTATACAGTTGATCTAAGTGAATCTATGTCCAGCGCACCCAGGCTTTGTATCAAAAAGGACCCACCGAAACGGTACTCGGAGTAGCAAGGGAGTTACCATCGATATCCTGCATTCCGATCCTAGGAGTGCAGCCAAAGACAGCTCAAGGCCTTCAAAGTTAGCCAAGCTATTCTCTTGCATCTGCGGAATTATCGACACACGGGTTTTTCGTAGTACTTTTTGTTTTCTACACCAAAACCGTTAAGGATACGAGGCAAACGAAGCACGGATCGATCGATCCTTAAGGTAGATTGCACGCAATGAGAGGTTGAATGTTGCTGCTGAATCCCGGCAACGGGAGGCGTGGCGTTTTACGACAATAACAAGCGGAAGCACGTGGGAAGAAAGTGATAGTGAAACAAGACAAATTAGTCCGAAGCGCGCATACACCAGAAATTAAAAAAAACCCACAATTGGAGGTGGCACAATTCTCGGTCCGGCTGGTCTTTGGTGTTCTCATTACCGTGCACCGGTTCGGGGAGGGACACAACAAATGATGGCGACGAGAGGTGTTGAAGAATCTTGGTTATTCCATTGGAGCAGATGTAGTCCCTACTTCAGCAGCAGCTTCAGTTTGACAAGTCACAGCGGAAGTTAATTCAGTTGCCATCAGAAAAAGTGAACATCCAAGTGGATTGGGAGCCGAAACCGAGGTTTACATCACAGGAAATTGTATCTGAATGCTACAAGCTGCTAAGTTTGAACCATGACCAAAAATGATTGAAGTTTCAGATTCCAGAAGAAAATCCCAGTCATGCCACACAGTTATTCGTGGTCAACATGTGAATCCTTATGTGCCGGACCGAAAGCCACCGACTACATCTTGGAACGACGATGAGAAGCAACCAATGAGTGATTGCGCCTCCAAAAATCAGCATTGTCAAGTAGCGCACGACTTCTGTCGAGGTGCGTATCCCAAAGTTGCAAGCACGCTACAAATGCAAAATGACTAAGTTTCGTAGCGTCGCGAGGAAGGCGATTTCCGCAGTATTTCGCATAGACTTTTTAAGGAAGAGAAAAAGTGCTACAGTGAAACACAACAGTGTTCCTGTATCGCTGCAATCACAAACGGTGCATACCATCAAGACCATTTCTCGATTGACCTGGGCTATACTTGGCACATCATCAGTTAAAACCATAATTGTAACGGGTCAAAATTTTTCAGTAGAACTTCGGCAGCTAAAAGTACCACCTGCCAACGCAGAATCAAGGATCAACAAGATTATGGGACTCTCTACCCATCCTTCTGCGCCAATATTAATTTGTGCAGAACCAACTGGATTATGAAGTTAAATTTACTCAATGAGCCAATGAGTCATGGGAGTTCTCTAACGATTGTTATTGTCAGCAACAGAGACCCTACCTGTACTAAATGTTCGGGTGGTTACAAGTTACCTGTACGGAAAACAATGCAGGCTTGGCCGAAGCACGAACCACCTTAGTCGTGGACGGATGTGGGCCCAGTTGGATGATGTCCTCCGAAGAGCTATACAACTCTCAGGTAAGCCATTTCTAAGAAGAAAGAGGTGCTAAGGATATGAGGTTAACGAATCACGGATCAATCGACCCTTAGGAAATTACACGCAATGAAAAACAGTTTACAATCAAGGCAGTGATAATTTGGATTCGCGGTATTTTAAAATCCCTGTTTCTAAGCTAGTGAACGGCCCTGTTTTCTGTGAACATGTAATAAGAAAAATACCGGAGTCTACAATAATAATATGGTTAAAAAGCATCGCGCTGAATGGTTTTGTTTTTCAAATGAAAAAAAATTAAGAAGCTGGAACATGTCCATCAGGCATAGCCCATAGTCCGGGCATACGGACGACTATCTGATTTGGAAGCTGGCTGTGATGAATCTCAATTACCAATAGTAAAATCCCCTACTCATGAGTAGATCAAAATATATCCGCCCTAACAGTTTCTAAATGCTGTGTCGTACATAGCTACTGTTAGTGGACGTCGTGTATTTCGGGGCCAACCCTATCCAGTGGAGAATAAGACGCGCTATATCGCAGTTAGCTTGCAAATCACGACGGACTGAAGCTGTCCTCCGTGGCCAAGTGGCATAAGCTGCTGACTGGCGGTGCAAGCCGCTGGTGGTCATGGGTTCGAATCCTGATGGATCCACACTACTGATAATGCCCAACAGGCTGAATCTGCAGTCTAGTGCTTTTCCGGGCATGTGGAAAAGTATCTAATTTGGAAGCTGGCTGTGATGAAGCCCAATTATCAATAACCTAAAAAAAATCCGATACATCTATGGAAAATGGATGAGAATGAGAACAGATTACGTTGTTGAGAATTGTGGGCAAAATCGGGTTTTCTTAGTGATGTTACCCTTACGGTTCAGAGTCAACCTGACTAGCTGATATCGATCGCTCCATTCAATGGCTGTCTCGGAGCGACCGCTTGCTTTTTAACGCGCTCACACTATGGCCTCTAACTAGGTTGTCTATTTCCGCCAGATTTGGTTTCCTTATTTCGCTTGAAGTAAAAAAGCTTGTGGGAGTTTGTTGTTTTTCCTTCAATTGGGGTTGCCTTTTCTGATTGTGCGTTTTCCCCCCCCCCCCCTCAAGGATGGTTGCAATCTCGCGTCGCACTGACACAGAATACTAGGGGCAGCGACCATTTTCGACGACCCGAAACGACTATTAGAAGCCGTTGCGGAAGCGCTCCAGACAATTCAATCCGTCAGCTGGATCGCAGTTCGTCGTCAATTATGTGAATAACATCAATGAGGTTTATCACGATTCGGACACTAGTGCCACGTTCAGATCCTGGTTGAATGATTATGAAATACTGTTTCGCAAAGATTTCCCAACGCAGGATGAGTCCCAGCGTGTACGGATCTTACTACCGAAAATCGGTCATCGAATACGAGAGATTTGCGAATATCATATTGCCAAAATCATCATCATCTTCATTATACACGTTAGCCGCAGACGGAAAACACCTCAGCTATTGTGCCGTAATACGAAAGACAAAAAGAAAAAATACAATAGTGGCACGCCGGCTAAGTCCCCCGTAACCGATGGACATTGTTCCGGAGAGCTGACAGCCAGCTATGGTGCCGTAAAAATAGTTTTATTATGCCTAGCGAATGAGATCGTGACTAGGGGAGGAGGCTAAACAGGAGGAGATGCAAAAAGGAACTCACAACACAAATGCCATTGGGGTCGGCTCCTAGTCATCAGCAAGTGTATCCAACCAAACGTGCTCATCGTCCTTAGGACCCCAGCCAGGCAGTCGGGATGCACCAACCGAAGCCAAGTTCGAAGTAAGGGTTTTCACTCCTCTCGACCAAGTCATCGCTTGTCCTCCTCTCCTCCTCTTCCAACCGCATCCACAACGCGCAAACAATACACGTCGCGGGAGTCGGTGTGCGGGCATGTGCAACAGGTGGCCCAGCCATCGGAGCCTGGTGCGTGATATAATGGTGCTGAGCGGTTCACTTGCTCTTCCTGCACCAAATACGCGAAGTCGTACACGCTCATCGCTCACGCGGTGCTCCCCCCACATGAGTTAAGCTGCGAAAGCAGCGAAGATCCAATGTGACGGGCCTCTTTATGTTTGTCGACCAGATGGGCCAGGTTTCACAACCGTACAGGTGGGTTGAACGGACGGCTGCGTTATAAACTCTACCCTTCAGGGCAAGAGTAATGTCGCGTCTGCGCCACAGATGGCGGAAATTGGCAAAAGCACCTCGAGCTTTTGCTATACGGTTCGTAACCTCATCTTCAATCCCACGGGTGCCAATATAGCTGCCCAGGTACTTGAATTCCTGAACGACTTCTAGCAGATCACCACCAAGCGTTAGCGCAGGGTTGGATCCCTGCCAATCTTGGAGAAGTACTTTGCATTTCGATGGAGCAAAGCATAGCCCAAAATGATTGACAGCCAGTGCTAATCGGTCCAGCGCTATCTGGCATGTTTGGGAGCTGTCACAGATTAGGGCAATATCGTCTGCATTCTCCAAGTCAAGAAGTCGCTCACCAGGTAGTAGCTCCACACCTTCTAGGTCGTGTCCAGCGAACGCTGTTTCCATGACTTCACCAATAGCAAAGTTGAAGAGGAAAGGCGACAGCGGGCATCCTTGTCTCACACCGCTGGTGATACGGAAGGGTGGCGACAGTTTACCATAAACCCTCACCCTGCCAGAACTATGCGCGTACAGCGCATTTATCAGGCCCACCTTTCCTCAGCAGACAGTCTCAAAGGGCACATCGATCGGCTGAGTTGAAGGCACCTTTTATGTCAAAATACACGACAACGGTGGGTCGCCAATAAACATGGCGGTGCTCCAACCATTGACGCAAGTTGCAGATGTGGTCGATGCAGCTTCGACCTCGACGAAACCCTGCTTGCTCTTCACGAATTTGGCTTTCACGAGTGCCAGTCAGTTTGTGGAGAATGACAGACGCAAGCAATTTGAGGACAATTGAGATCAGACTGATCCCTTTATGATTGCCGCATTCCGTACGGGAGCCTCCCTAGAAAA